CGTATTCCTATTCCCATGAAAATTTAATATATGTAATAACTCACTTCACACTCACTTCAAATTATATTCCAATATTACATAGAAAAATGTTTAGCATTAAATTTTGTCAAAGGAACAAATTTTTCAATTGAAGACTAATAATTCTATAAAAAGGATTAGTACCATTGTTTAAATTATCCCGTACAAAACAAAAGAGTTATGGTGGAACAACAAAAGACTCCATGGATCTTCAAAAAGAAGAAAGAGTGGAAGAGTCATTGGAGCAAGAAGAAGGGGAAATCGTGGAAGACTCTTTTGACAAGATTCAAGAACAAGATGACAACGAAGAAGAAGAAGTATTATCAAGAGTTGTACTGGATTTTGATTTAAATGAAGAGGAAGATTATGAATTTGATTTGAACAAATTTCCTGAAGAAGACGAAGAAGAAGAAGGAGAAAAAAACGGAGAAGAATCTTCCCACCATACTGAGTTTCGACCTGTGATAAAAAAGATGATAAAAAAACTTCTTCCAAAATTTTACTGAAAAATATTTGTGGACTAAGTATGGAGTATCTCATTTTAGATTTGGCTTAAGTGCATAAGTTGTAGGAGTTGTTATTTAAGAAGTCCTTATTATTGGTATTTTTTTTTATAAAATAAGTATGGAGAAGAATTCCTTGTTATTGCTACAATTTAGGAATGCATTTCTTAAGTTCATTCTTATTGTTTTTTTATTGATACATTAAAAAAAATCATGGCAAAAGTTTAGGAAGTTACGTGCAGGAGATTTGCTAAAGTTTAGGAAGTTACTGTAACTTTTTATGGCAAAAGTTTAGGAAAATATAAACTTAATTCTCACGCACAATACATATGATAAAAGTGACTACATCCCTAAACTATATTTATGGCAAAAGTTACTGTAACTAAATTTGTTACTCCATAAACTAAATTTTAGGAGTACAATCCATAAACTTAAAAAAAACTCTATTTGAAAATCTCAAATGTGACTACATCCCACTTACAATAAGTGTTACTCCATGTTTAAGTAATTCTTGACTTCTTGTATTAATATTGGATCACACTTAATTTGAATTGGTAGTTGTCCTATTCTTTCTAGCCTTTCCTTATTTATATGAGGAATTTTATATTTATTGGAACCTGTCACTTTCATGATCTCTACCATGCATAATTGCAATGATACAAATATACGATTGGACATAATTGAAGGAAAATTTTCAAATGACTTCACCACTGCATCGATAAGTTGATCAATAGTTTTTGGTGCTTCCTTGTATTGCAATGATTGTATAGCCGAGAAAAACCCAAGATCTAAGATATTTAAATCTGGAGAGTTTGCAGGCTGACACATTAAACGAATATCAAACCCATCCTTGGTAGCAGCCTCACAGAATAAAGGATCATTATGGTTTATATGTGTCCTTGCGTTATCCTGCTGAATAAATATTGTTGACTTCAAGTCATCTCTTGGCCATTTTTCTCTTATAGCCGGTAGGACTTTGTCAATAAGGAATGATCTTACCACATCTCTCTTAACCGAAGTTATTGCTTTTGTTACCATTGTTCCTGCAACTCTGTTAATACTTGACCTTTGAGCCGGTTCATGGGTAACAAACAGGAAAACACCAATTTTACCCGAAAAAGTTTCATTTTCTCCTGCGTCAAATCGTGGCCGAGTTTGAGCAACTAAGAACATAACTTTGGCAATGAAATTTTTGCTCTTACATGTTCGATATGGCTCATCTTCATCTGGGAGCAAATAATACTTCTCGGATTTTTTAGTCATATAAAACCATTTTTCATCAATATGAATAATATTGTGCATGCTTTTAAACATTGGATCATGTGGTGTACCTTCAAGCATTGATAAACAAAATTCCAGCCTAGATATTTTGTTTTCTTCTTTCAATAATGGTTTTATGGCATTTGAATTACGCCGTATAAGCCCTGATTTTATAAGCCTGAACACCGATGTTAGATTGGTTTTCAACCCAAAAGCTAAAGATCGAATGTTTGTTCTTTGACTGAAAGGAAGTTCACGAATTTGATTCTCATCAATTGAAATTCTCTTACGTCCACAATTTTTTATCTTCCTATGAGAGACATCACGCGTTTCACTTTCTTTTGCTCTTTTCCAAATACGTTGAACAGTTCTTATAGGAACCGAATTTGATGAAGCCACCTAATTTGTAGCTCCTTTACGTAATTGTCCATCAACGCTTTTTTGTAGTAGCTTATGATAAATAGACATGCGTTCTTCATTGCTTAAGACTCTTAATTTCTTTCTTTCTCTAGATTCTGGTTCAAAATTTTCTGCAACATACACTATAATTTTTTTTAAAAAAATAACAAAATTACTAGAAACAACCACATAAAAAATAAACACACATGAAATATCACTGTGAATTTAAGTATAGAAACCACCACATAAAAAACAAACACACATGAAATAAAAAATATACCAATGTCATTGTTTCCTTCAACCTCCTCTTGTAAATTATCTTCATAGGACTCATCAATGTCATTAGTTGCTTCAACCTCCTCTAAAGCCATATTTGATGAGATGTAAATATTTTAAACTTATAATATGAAACCATATTATATATACTACTCCTTTTATTATTGGTTCAACCTCATCATTGGTTTTAATTTTATGGTGGGAAACTTACGTTTTTATTAAAATAATTGGAGGGAATAAGTATTTTTACGGTGGGAAACTTAAGTTTTCCTTTAGCCATTCATTGAAACAATAAGCAATAAATATTTTTATAGTAAAAGTAAATATTTAATGAAACAGCAGTACATATTCTTATAGCATGCAAGATTAATTCCAAAAATTTAGGAGTAGTTACGGAAGAGAGAGAGTTGTGTGCCCCAAAATATGGAATTAATTATTTGAATTAAATAATTTAATGAGTTTTATTTGGAAAGAGAATGAGGGTAGAATGGGAAAAAAATTATAGCAATTCATGTATCTTGGTTGGAGAGCTTTTGGCTAAAACGTCAATTAAAAAGGAACGGAGGGAGTATATTTTTTTAACATAATTAGATTAGTTATTTTTTAAAATATTAAAATTAATTTAGACTTTAGGTTTTTTAATTAACTTAACTAATTATTTTTTCTTTTTAATTAACTTAATTAATCATGTTTTTTTATTTAAATTAATCTCATCAATTAATTTAGTTTCTTAGGTTTTTTTCATTAAACCCTTGTTTTTTCAATTAAAATCAATTTAGGTTTTAGGTTTAATTCATTAATTAATTTTCTTTTAATTAATTAAAATTAATTAGTTCTTAGGTTAATCATCGAACTTTTTTTTATTAAACAATCACAAAGTATTTCTTTTCTCGTTTCTCTTTATTTTACCGCTTCGCGTATTTTACTGTCGCATATTTCATTATTTTTATCATTATGTATCTGATATTGGTTTGTAATAGTTTAATTAGGGTTTATTTTTTCTTCTGGTTTTGTTGTTTGTACCCCCACCCCTGAGGCCTTGTAATAGCATATAACTTTATTTCTCGCACTTTATTGCTTTTCATTATTGCTATATTATTTTGCTAGTAATTAGGGTTTGTATGGAAAAACATAACACAAAAGACTTTGAGTAGGTAGATAGTTCTTAATCGCGTGCTCGTGAACATTTCAAAACATCTTTTTCACAAACATTTTCCCTGAAATATTTTCAAAAACAAACACTTTGTACGCATTCTTAACTGATACGAGAATCATTACAAAGTTGTCGTACTTAGGCATTTTTCAAAATATTTTCAAACACATACACAAAAAGCATTTCAAAATAAAAGTGAACTAGCGATTAAGAGCCCATAGATAACTACAGATGAAAAGGGTGCTAGCACATTCCCTTTTCATAACCTACCCCCCGAACTCAAAATCTCGAAGGTCATTCCTGTTCTTTTCACCCTTTCCTTATTTGATAAAAGAAAAGTTGGTGGCGACTCTTGCTATCTGCAATATTTGTGATAAAATGAAAAACCAAGTCAGTTCTTCCACCGTATTACAATTTACTTTTGATGCAAGCGTTCTCTATTCGATGTCTTTGAGTTTTCCTTTGATTTAAGTGTTCTCTATAGAAATCCATCTGCGATTAGTCTTCTTCCTCCCCAGTGAGTTCACTTTTGATGCAAGTGTTCTTTGTTCGATGCCTTTGAGCTTGCTTTTGATGCAAGCATCCTCTATCTGATATCTTTGAGTTCGCTTTTGATTCAAGTATTCTCTGTAGAACTCTATTTGCGGTTAGTCTTCTTGCTCTCCTATGAGTTCACTTTTGATGCAAGCGTTCTCTGTTCGATGCCTTTGAGTTTGCTTTTGATGCAAGCGCTCTCTGCCCGATGTCTGTGAGTTTGATTTTAATGCAAGTGTTCTTTGTCTGATGTCTATGAGTTTTCTTTTGATTCAAGTGTTCTCTGTCTAGTATCTTTGAGTTCTCCTTTGATTCAGGTGTTCTCTGTAGAAGTCTATTTGTGGTTAGTCTTCTTTCTCCCATGTGAGTTCGCTTTTTATGCAAGTGTTCTCTGTCTGGTATCTTTGAGTTCGCCTTTGATTCTGGTGTTCTCAATCAGTTAACCTTATATATGTCCAATTTTGGTCGGGCATGTATGTTTGATTTCCTTTCTTGTATGTGTCTAATCCTGACCTGATATACACTTCCTGATAACCACCTTTCACCAAAAGAAAAGAAAAAATAGAAAATTCAGAAAACCAAAAATAATAATAATAATACTCGACTGTCTTCAGAGTGCAAATTTTATGATTCTATTGAGTATTCAATCCTTTTTTACCTCGATTATTCGAAAGGCATCCGCCAATCTCACCCTCAAGTTAAAGAAGATTGAATAGAGGCAGTTGTTGCACCATAAAATTCACCCTCTTCATTTTAACCCTAATTGGCTTATACTTCATCGTCATATGCATACATACATGATATAGGGTCTATACTCATGCAATCAAGGTTTTTCTCTGAGGAAAGAGCAGCAAAAAATGACGGTTTCGTTAAACATCAATGTGAAGCGAAACTCGGGATTAATCAAGTCATTATCATATTAAGTTCACATGTGTTCCAACACGCTTTGGATTGCACAGAAAGTCAAGCGTTTCAATCGATTTGAGACAGTGTAGACAAAAATTCAGTATCTTGCATGCGAGGTCAAAAATTCACAACTGGAGATCAGAAAATGGTTTGAGAATGGTTCTGTAGACATTAGAACCTTATTGTTATATTCTCTAATTCATTTGTTTGGGTCGAAGGTTAATTTTGTGAGGAAGATCTTCAAAAGTGCAAATACCTGAAATCACGTTCTACAGTGGATTTGTTGGTTCGCTGGTTTTTGGATGCTTAAAAATACGTAACTTCTGGCCAAAAAATCATCTTTGATTGGTTCTTGGAGAATTTGAACCATCTTATTATTTTCTTCATTTCATATGTTCGGTTCGAAAGCTAATTCGGTGAGGAAGATCCCCAGATTTGCAAATACTGAGACTGGTACCATGAAACAGTGTGTTGAACTGTTGTTTATCGGAGATTCAAAATTCATAACTTTCTCCCAATTCAACATTTTTAAATTATTATTTGGGAATAAAATCCATCTTTATGTTTCCCTCACTTCGTATGTTCGGGTGAGAAGTTAATTCTTTGAGGAAGGTCTCCGAAATTGCAAAAATACAGTGAAAATCGCATGTTGAAGCGGATTTCTGGTCAATTGTTGTGCAATATTGTAAAAATCATAACTTTCTCAATTTCCATCGTATCCATATGATTCTTTCAGAACGGTGTTGCAAATTGTGTTAGTTACAAGTTTTCTTCAGGTCCCGAGTTCGGATTATGCTCAGAAGACTTTGGTTTATGGCTTGTTTCCAAAGTAGTACATTGAAATAAGCTGAAAAATCTGCACAATGGGTTTTCTGCCTCAAGTTTCTCGCTGTTGCAAAATTCATAACTTTGTCGATTTTTATCGTATCAGGGTGATTCTTTCGGCGCGATGTCATGAATTTCGTAATCGACGTTTTGTTTCAGGTTGCGCGTCAGGATTATGCACCAAAAGTGATGAGCTTGTGGGTTTTTTGGGACTGCACACAAAAATAAGCTAAAAAATATGCACAAAGAATTTTCTGTCAGTCGTTTCTCGACATTCGAAGAATCATAACTCACTTAATTTTTATCATATCAGAGTGATTCTTTCGGTACTGCATCACAAATTTCATCATCGACGTTTTTGTTTCAGGTTACACGTCAGGATTATGCACTGAATGTCATGAGTTTTGGTTTGTTCTCGAGTTGTGCACTAGAATAAGTCGAAAATTCAGCATTTGTCAAAAATACACAAGTTAAACAAGACTTGGAGCCATTTCTATATATTTTCAAAATTCAAATTGTATACAACTTTTGCCTCATTCAAAATCTCAAAAATTATCTTATCTCTTTCAAGTTTCTCTCTATTCTCTCAAGCAAGAACTCAAAAGCAAGTTGCAAAGCTTCATCTTCCTATTCCCTCTCTCACCGGACCTCCGCCCTTGCACCGCCGCACCACCATCGCGTAACTACCGGCCAGCCTTCGTCTTCGGCGAACCTCCGTGCAATTTTCGGAGAACTCCCTCCGACCTTCGCTTGATTTCTGTGGTTCTTCCTTCGTCTTCGCGTTAAATTCGATCGGACTTCCCTCTCTTCCGATTGCTAGCTCTGGCGATCTACTATGTTCTTGCTACGATCTACTTCTTCAATCTTCACTTCAGTAAATTTCTTGATCCTTAATTTATTTAAGCACTTAATTGTTAATTGATTTTATGAAATAAGTGTTTATTTGAGTTTTCATTGAGTTGATTTAATTGAAGCAATTAATTAAGTGATTCTTGAATTTTTGATGATGGAATCAAGTGGAATTGGTTGAGTTTGTGTTTAATTGTTTGGATCTAATGAAGTTTGCGCTTCGAATTGAATTGATGTTCATGTTTACTTGATTTTACGCGTCGAAAATTGTTTTCGAGCAAATACTTGTAGATGATAATTGATTTTCATGATATTTCGAGTCGATTTAATTGCGGCTAATTGATTTGTTTCGATGCTGAAAGGCTTCGATCCATTTTTTTGATCAACACTTGATTTAGTTGATTTAAGGCTTGGAATCATTGCTTGCATGTGGAATTAATTGTTACAGAGTATTTGTAATTTCTAAGCGGTATTACATGAATCGATGAATATTTCTATGTATATGATTGTGAGTTTTAAACTCTTTTTTGTCTGATTCCGATACATGTAAGTGTTGCTGCCCGGATATTACAAATTTCTTGTAATTCATATTTCAAATGTTGTTTGATGCTTATTTGAGCATGGTTGTGCGTTTATGGACCGTTGATGTTGAGTTATATCGTTTTCGACGCAATTTTTCGAGTAATGTTGTGATATGGCACAATGCTTCCCGGTTTTGGTAAGTTGAGCTTAAGGCGTTATTTAATTTATGGTTAATGCTCAAGGGAGTTTTTTTTTGGTACTTGGATGACATCTATGACAATTTTTGATGATTTCGGATCGATATCTTGTGCGATGTCATGGGTTGGTGCAATGTTGTCCGGTTTGGTAAGTCGATGCAGACGTGTGATTTAATTGTTGCTTGATGCATAAATAGGTTTCCTTTGGCATTTATTTGGGATTGATATTGATTTTGTGCGGTTGTTTTTATCGATATTTTGTGTGGTTCGTGAAATAACAATGTTGCTGTCCGGTTTTCGGTTTTCACCTTATAATGCTTGTTTGGCCTTAGTTCTTTTGTAATTCACTATTGTTTTTGAGTTGTGATTTAATACTTGAGTTTAACTTATGTTTCCTTGTTAATTTCTAACTTGTTTTGTAACTTGTGCAAGTTTTCGAAGACTCTGTCGTACAATATGCGATGTTTGGATTATTGTTTCATTGTATAGACTTGTCTTGTGCAGGGACTTTGACTTTATGCGATAGATTTTTTGCATGCAATTTATTTTCGCATTTGCGGATTTGGTTTTGATATTGGATATTAATTTTTATTATTCCTCTGTTGCTTGGTGAAGCTTGCACGAAGTTTTCCGGATTTCTTTGCTTTGATATCGCTTGATACGAACTCTTGTTCATTTGGTATTACTCAGATTCTGGTTTTAATTCCACATTGTACTTTCTTTTCCTTGCCATGAGAAGTAGCTATAGAGATGCATGATTGAAAGTCCCTACTTTAGGTGGGAAAATTTGTTTTAAAGACCTTTATAAGGCATTTTTGTGTGCGCATTTGCTTGTGTTTGTTTGTGTGCAAAAGACCTCGACGAAGGCAAATCTCATTTCCCTCCCATTTCCTGTTTACTTTGTGCTTGTTATCGAGTCAACAAGTGGAATAAAGAGCCCGCAATCAGCTCCCACACTTTCTAGTATGTGTCGTTCTTAGCTCGCATCATACGTTGATGCTTTGAATCATGATTATTCTTTCCAATTGATTCAAATAAGTGGAAGAAAGGGTTTGTAACCAACCCTCACACTTTGTCATTTGTTTCGACGATGTTAGCTTGCATTTCTTTAAACGTCGACGCTTCGAGTTATTACTTGCTATCGGTGCTCGAGCAAATCAAGTGGAAAGAGTTTCTTACTCCTACTTTGAAATCCATTAGATTCGTTGTTTGTTGCTAGCTCACACTCGATTTTTGTTTTGGTTTTAATTCAACTTTATTGATTACACTTGCATTTATGCTTTTCTTTAAACCTCCATATGTTCCCTTAGGATCGCTTGACTCATCTTTAAGTCGAGGTAGACATTAGGATATCAAACCATGCATGCTAACTTAGGTAGTGTTTTTCCTTTCAAACTCCGCCATAGATCAATTATTCTATGATAACATTAAGGATAGAGATAGATAGTTTCCCTTATATGTTTTTATTTCCCTTTTGTATGATTAAGACTAAAACTCTTTCTTTGGCAAATTTATGAAACACTCTAACATTTCTTAAATCCTTTTACAAGGTAAAAAAACATCAACCAATTCAAACTTTTTCGCCTCCGGGTCTTTTCTTTGAAACTCTCAAAAGGATGTGTTAATTCTACTCTGCGTAATACAACCCGTAAATCCCCAAAGGTCGGGTGGCACTATGTCTACTTGCTAGAGCACGAATGTAGCATTATTTTCCTTCGGGTATTTTTATTTTGAAAATACCTCTTCAGGTAAGAACATATGTTAATTCCTTCCTATGCCAACGCGTGAGTCTCTAAAGGTCGAGTTGAGGTAGAAAGCGGAATTAATATTGTTCATAAAAAACACAAAACAAACGGAAACTTTTGAGCCGAACTACAGTGCTCTGATTCCTTAAAGGGATACATAGGCATTTGGTCGCGGGGCCTAAGCGAGCAAGACTTTGTAAATTCCTTCATTTTCCCGTGTTTTCTTTTGCATGAATTCCCTCTTTGCATTTTTTTTCTTTAGCTCGTAAGCTTTAGATTAGAACACACCCTTTGATTAGAATAACAAGAGTGGATTCCGTGGAGTACCATGGACGCGAGGGGTGCTAATACCTTTCCCTTGCGTAATCGACTTCCTTACTCATATCTCTCGGTCGCGAGACCTTGATTTCATCCTTCTCAAGTTTAGTCGATATTTATCTTTCCCTTCTGGTGGGATACAAAATATTCGATGGCGACTTCATTGATTTTCTCTCGATGATTGTTTGGTTGTTGTTTCAGGTATTGATAGCCACATTATTAGAGAGGGTAATACTCTATCGAGAGAGGATGTTTTAAATCCCATTAGGCATGTGGAGGATAAGGAGATTTGGAATACTCTTGAGAGTGTTGGTAACAACAAGGCAACTGGGATAGATAGGTTTAATGCTTTCTTCTTCAAAGATGCTTAGCATGTGGTGAAACTGGACATTATTGTTGCAATCGGGGAATTCTTTAACACTAGTAGGATGCATAAAGCTCTCAACTGTTCTTTAGTCACCCTTATCCCTAAAATTGTTGAAGCCAGAATTATAAAGGACATGAGGCCTATCTCTTGTTGTAGCACTATGTACAAAATAATTTCAAAGATCCTGACTAAGAGGCTGGGCAAGGTCATAAGTTCTACCATTAATGAGAATCAATCAGCGTTTATACCTGGAAGAGTTATACAGGATAACAATATGATAGCTCAAGACCTGATTAGAGGCTATAGCAGGAAGTTTATCTCCCCTAGGTGTATGGTCCAAATGGACATACAAAAGACTTATGACACGGTGGAATGGTCATCTTTAGTCCAAATTAGGGCTGCATTGGGTATTTCTCAAAAATTTATTAAGGATTAGTGCATGTGTTACTTCTGTCTCTTACAGGTTTGCAATCAATGGGAACCCTAGTGAGCTCCTCAAGGCCAAAAGGGGTTGAGAGAAAGAGATCCTATCTCCCCCTTCTCTTTGTTATAATCATGGAATACTTCCATAGAGTGGTCCAAGGGTTGAAGGAGAACCATAATTTCAACTTTTACCCTAAATGTGAGAATTTGAAAATTGTGAATTTATGTTTTGCTGATGATATTCTTATGTTCCTCAGGGGTAACATTGATTCTATGAAGCTCATTATGAATGCGGCGAAGGACTTTAGTAATGCTACGGGCCTTAAGATGAGTATGCCAAAGAGCAAAATCTATTTTGGTGGTGTGGATGATACAACCCAAGAGCTTATTCAACATAAAACTGGTTTTGAGGTTGGTAAGCTGCCTTTTAAGTACCTAGGAGTTCCCCTATATAGCAAGAAGCTAACTATTAACAATTGTCAACCTCTGATTGAAAAATGTTGGCTAGAATAAATCATTGGAGTAGAAGGCAGCTATCATATGCAGGAAGATTATAGCTGGTGAAGTGCATTCTGTTCTCCATAGCAAATTATTGGCTTCAGATATTTCCCCTGCCTAAGAAAGTGATTAGCCATGTGGAAAATCTGTGTAGAAACTTTCTTTGGTCTTGTCATGATACGTTCAACAAGAGGGTTCCTATTTCCTGGGAACATACTTGTGATCATGTGTATGCAGAAGGTCATATTCAAGCATAGAGATGTTTTAATTAACTCTTCTGTTTGGAATATATTTCACGTGTCAGGAGTTTATGTCACGAGAGATATGTACCATGAGAAACAAGGTGATAGTCCAAAACAACAACAAAGATGGCTTGAGACTTCAAGAGATAAAGGATATTATTTTGTGGCGTGTGGAAAGGGATACAAAATTGACTGATTTTTGTAATAGATTATAATGTTGTATAGGTTGTTTTAGTTTTCTTTGGTTTGTTTTGTCCTTGAGTAGCTTGGATCCTTGGATTAACCTATAATTAACTGTTTTTAGATTAAATAAAATCTTTTATTTGTTTAAGAAAAAGTATTATGAACTTATGTGTCATACACTGTGATTTTGCACCTTGTTATTAAAAAAATAGGTATAAAATCTATGATTTTACATTTGTTTTTTCAAAAATTCGTAGAAACTCATTGATTCTCAAAAATCTGATAAAAACTCATAAAAAATTTCAAAAATTAGATAAAATCTCAAAAATTTGAAACACACACAATATTTTTTAAAGTAAAAAATCACAGAGTATTAAAGTAAAAACACTACCACAAAAAGTGTGAGATATAATATAACTAGAGAGGTGACAAGACAAAATCCCCTAACTGTGGAGTGCTTTAACAACTAGCTTTGAGTGGCCCAAATCTAATTGGGCTGAACATTGGAAGTTCTACGATATTGTTGTTTCTCGTTCTCCATTTTGTTGTCCTTTCATTTCCCTCCTAAACAAGTTAATTTTGAAGAGGGAAGAGAAAATTGAACAGAGTTAGGCACAACATAGAGCACGGCAAGTAAGTTGAAAAATAGTGATTTGAAAATTTTGTAGCTATGCGTATTTATATGAATATGGTCTAGTAATAGAAAGAGAATAGAATATCAGGTGAGAATTTCAAGTGCTACTTTATGTTTGTTTTGACAAGAGGTTGAATTTTGATTTCACTTTTTGATGATGAAGTTTCTGAATTTGAAATTGGAAAATAAGTTATTATGTGGGGAACAATTTCAATGGGAATTCAATTTAATGGGGCTATTGCTATTTTCCTCTATTTATTACATGGACCGAAAACGACGGGTATATAGCATCTGCCGTGTTATAGATCCAAAATTTCTATATATATTTTTTTTAGGATTTCTTAACCCACTCATACTTGTCTAACGCAACACGCGAAAATACAAAAATGTTATTTGAAAATTGAAAATGTATTTCTGGTATGCATTAAATCTTAATTTTTGGTGGACGAGACCCTATGTATCAGTTGAAAATTAACCAGAAATGCAACTACGGGTGCAACTGTAATTGTGTTTTCGGAAGTGCCTCAAATGCACACAATGTTGAAGACTGAGAACCTCAAGCTAACACGCAGATACGAATCAGAAATACATTTACATTTAGAACCATAGTTGTATTTCTGGTTCCTGTTGACACTTAAATGCGCGTTGTCTCTTCCCCTTCCTCAATTTCAGAAACCATTTGAAAACAAAAACACTCCACACCCAAAAACCAAACCCTCTCAAACCCCATTGTGTCAAAATCATCATATTTTGTGAAAAGATCATCAAGAATCATCAAGTATCACACGAAATTCAGTGTTCAAGCAGATTCAAGAAAAAAAACATCACTTGTAAGTTGTTTTTGAGCTTTTTAGAGTTTATGTAATTTTACCTACAAATTTTGTATTAGGGTCAAAAATTTAAATTCTAGGAGTCATAAAAAACGTGTTAGGCATGTTTTTGTTTACGATCAGTGATTGTTTTTTGAGGTCATTGGGACTGAGCTTCGCCATTGACGAAGCTGTAAAATTGTCGGTCATACCGAATATACATTTCCGATTTTCTTCAACGTTTACATCAAAAACCAAAATTGCATGTCCGATTTTAGTCAGTCTGCATTTTTCCATTTTTTTTGAACCTGAGTCTTATTATTAATGTTTGCTTCGTTCTTCTACAAGAGTAATGACTGAGATACTATCTAGATTGAGACACGACAGGCTTGTACAACATGCTTCTGTGTGGAGGGAAAAGAGACATGTATCTCAGACTCCTTCTACCTTTGGACAAGTTGTGTCGGATGCGCCTATAGCCTCTAGTGTTCCTGTTTCTACACCTACTTCATCGTTCTCCCGCAGCATGTGAGGTTCTCTAGTTCATCCCTCCCCGCCTCCGTCTTTCCGTAGACGCATTTCCTTGTCGATAGTATTTGAGACAGGAGAGACATCTGGTTCTCAACCGACACCCGCAATTGAGGTGGCACCTGCAGTTGAGGTGGCACATGCAGTTGAGGCGGCACCTACGGCGCCTCTGAGTTATGGGACGGTGAGGTATGAATTTATAATTGTTCTTGTAACTTTTGTTGAATTCATTTTATTATTATGTTTTATTGAGTGAATTTTGTTAAACCATGTATGCAGGAACGTGATCCGTTGAAAGTCATAAATTATGCGCAGAAGATCACTAAACTCGAAGCATCACCGGAAGTGTGCTATGAGAGCATATCTTTTGTATCTGATTGTCACAGTCATTTTTGTGGACACTAGTGTCACTTACACTGATATCATATACCTGGAGTACTTTGGTGATTTTGAGAAGATCCATGAGTGGAACTGGGGGGCTGCTTGTATGGTGTACTTGTATCATAAGTTGTCTGAAGGTTGCAAGTGGAAGACGAAGCAGATGACCGACAACATCACACTTCTGACGGTAAAATTTATTGGTCTTATATTGTGATTCTGTTTTGTTAATTATTGTGAATATGTTACTAACTAGTAATCATTGTAATTTTTTGCATGGATCCTATAGCACTTCCCCCGCATCTCGGGTTGGTCACTTGTCGGGGATTATACTGAAGAAAGGTTGTGTGCTGCTGCATTCGAGCCACTCTGAGGAAACCAAGAGATAGATTAGTTTGGGGTGTATATTGATTAGTTGGTGTTTGGGGATATACATTTCCATACCTACGTTGATCAACGTGTCACGGTTCCATTTGATGATGTTACACTGTATTGTGGATGGTTGGCTTACGGGTCGCGTAAGACAGATGCTCATATGCCTGAGCGCGTCATGCGTTAGTTCGGGTACATGCAGTATATTCTTCGAGATCTTGTTGTATCTGCTCCTCCCCTGGTGAAAAGGAGGGATATGGATGCTTTGTTTGATGATTATGTTAATCATCTCGTGCCAGATGAGACCCGGAGTACCTTAGCACCAAACGACTAGAGCTACGTGGTCGGTTATATCATATGGTTCTTCATAGCATCCCATCCATATCTAGTACAGGATGCTCTAGGAAACCCACCGAGCCCGGCTCATTAGGAAATTCTAGAGGAGGAGCAGGCTAGGGCCGATCATGCTACTGATGTGTTGCCTAGGTGTCTCTGTATCATGGATATTGCGCAAGAGGGTATTTATGGAGGATTGTTTCCTGATGGCTCTGATGTTAGAGGTGTTCTAGATGCCATCATATCGGAGGCTCAGGGGGCTTTGCAGTACATAAGGCAATAGAGGAACGTCGAGAGGGGGACGGGCTAACTCATAGTCTGCCATATCCAATAGTCTTTGTTGTTGTATATGTATTTTGGTTTGGATTGCTTTTCGTTTATCAATTTTTGGATTGTTAGTGGATAATATTTTAGGGTACCGCCTTTATGGACTATGCAAACTTTTGTATTGTTGACTGCTATTGTACATCCCGAAATATTTTTATCCTGGTCGAAGTACGAACTCGGACAAATAATGATATACGGGTCAATATAGGAGATCATCTCTAAGAGACCAAATCCGACTACTCAGTTAGTGTTGGCTGGGATTTAAGACAAGGACCAAAAACCCAACCAAAAGAAAATGATCAAAAGGGTTATATTAAAAAAATATTATGTATGTGACATGATTACTTATGCAGTCGATCTTGAGAGATTCCACAAGTAAGCGATTGGGCCTGAAAACAGGAGCAGTCGACCAGGGAGAACTTCATAAGTCATTGGGCCTAGAAACGTCAAAAGGCCCAAAAGATCCATCAAGCGAGCGAAGCGTTTTGGAGGGAAACTTGGAGAACGTGGGTTCGAAAGTTCGAATTGAGAACGTGGGATCATGGAGAGGAGTTACAAGATACACGTGGCGTATAAAGAAGAGAAGTTTGCTAGAAAGTAGTTATTTTGGTGTATTATAAATAAAGCACTTAGTGCATAGTATTAGGGGTTCAAACTTTCACATTCATATACGCTAGTCACTCAGAGTACCTAGACGGACGAGCGAAATGAGTCAAGTTAGGGCAATGTATGTTTGAATCAACTTATTTTCAACTATTTTGATGTTGTGTCATTTATGTTTACAGTTTAAAATGCCTTTTTTTTATTTTACAAGCCTTGCTTTATTGCTTATAAACTCGTTTGGCACTAGTCGAACGAATCATTTTAAACATACTTTATGAAAACACTCAAAAACTGAAGCATTATACTGAGATACCCTGGTCGATCTCTCCAGTAAACTTTTTGTTAAGAGACCAGTGTTGTTTACCAAAACCAGAGGAAAACAAATTAGCACACCTGGTAGGACAGTGCTAATAATTTCATATTTGTGTTTGGTTTTACAAAGTTTCTTGTAGTTTAGTTTGTGTGTATGAATTTAAGAAGTAGTAAACATATATCAAAGTCTAAAATTTCACGCTCTGACACGAACACTGCACATACACAGATTTCTACACAAAATGTGGATGTCATACCATTGAGTGCCATAACTCAAAGCGCGACAGTTTTATCTCTTGTAAGGTCGACCGCTGATTATGATTCAGTGACAACAGTCACTACGACAGAACCTAGGCATAGGGTATCACCATTTGACCCAAATCGACCACTCTTTCCAGGGTTCCAGGGTCATAATTTGTCCCTTATCCATATGGTATGACTTATTTCATGATGGTTGGTGTAACACGGTGGGAGAACTGACTTGGGTGTTTTTGCGTTTTATCGCAATTGTTGGGGATAGTAAGAGTCACCATCGACTTTTCTTTTATCCAATAAAGGAAAGGGTGAAAATAACATGAAAGACCTTTGAGATTATTTTCTTGTGTTCGGGGGGTAGGTTATGAAAAGGGAAGGTGTTAGCACCCTTTTCATCCGTAGTTATCTACGAGCTCTTAGTTGCTTGCTGGATCACTTGCTTTGTTTGAAAATGTATTT